CGGCGGCGGCGGGAGGGCCTGTCAGGGAAGGGCCCGGCTCGCGGTCCCCTCCGCCGTCGTCCCGCCCGGGAGGGCGGCCTCGGGTTTCCTCCGGCCCCTCTGCCATGGTCGCTAGCAGCCCCTCCGCAGTCCCCGGCACTGCGCACTCTCCCTCCTTAGAAGCCCCGCCCCTACGGCGCCGTCGCCACCGCAGCACCGCAGGCGTCAACAATGCGCCACCGGAAGCGGAAGCCCCGCCCTTTAGGGGCGTCGCCGGGCGGAGCGCGGTCGGCGTGTGAGATGTTGAGGTTTCCGTCCGCCGTGGTTTCCCGGCCGGCTTTGGGGGCTCGTGGCCCGCCCCCTGAGTGTCACCGACTCATCGGTGGTCACCGACTGACCTGCTCTCTAGGGTTTTAGATTAAAAAGCCCAAGCCCGAGGCCTCCCCAGGTAATCCTACGGGAAGTGGACCCGGGATGTCCAGGGAGACAGTGCATATGGAGGAGAGGGTTTCCGAGAGGTGCCAGGGGTCGGCGCCGCCGGCGTTGGTTGGTTTGCGGAGCCACTGCGGCTGCTTTGTCTCCAGGCTCAGGGGTCGCTACTTCTGTCCGCTTGCGTTCGTTCCGGTTAGTCAGTCTTCGGCCGTTTGTATTCGAAAAGGTGACACAAAACACAGAGAGATCCCCTTCGAGGATAAGAAATGAAAAACCAAACTCGGCTGGGACCTGTAGCAAGATGGTATGGCTCAGCTGCAGAGATTTGCAAATGTGAAAAAAGGAAAGAGGTATTTTGCTGATTTAAGAACTGCACTCTGTTCTTACCCTGGAGTTAACCTATGTCCATAAAAAAATTCCATTGCTGGAATCACAAGCCTACTACTCCAGCAAAACTGTACCTTACCTCAAATCCACGGTGTCAGCCTTAGGTCCCTTGCCTTTATTTTGTATTGGAAAGGCCCTGTTCATGTCCCAGTGCTTTGGCGCCTTCTCTGAGTACCCCAGCCCACACGATTTTCTTTTTCTTTCCTCTAAGCTCTATGTAGCACCTCACGTATTTATATTTTAATAAACTTTCTCTGTCCTTAAATTGATTATAAGTCTTTCAACGGTGGGAATATGTCTTTGTATCCCCAGTACCGTATAGAAAACCTATAAAAACCCGTGGCCATCAAATCAGTTCCAACTCATAGTGACCCTATAGGACAGAGTAGAACTGCCCAGGTTTCCAAGGAGTGGCTGGTGGGTTTGAACTGCTGACCTTCTGGTTAGCAGCTTATTATTATACAGAGTCATAATAATGTCAACACTATTATTTTAAAACTGATAAATAAAATTTATAGAAGTAAACATTATTTAGCAATATGTAAGTAAGCAAATACCAGATGAAATAGCTAAAGGAATTGAAAATAGTCAGGGCTCCCCTTCTTCAAGACACTAAAATCTGTCAGAAAGTTACTGTAATATCCTGATTTTGTAGTACTGAAGACACTTTGCTGCAGTATGTAAGATAATAAACACAGTGTCTGTGTTGTGAACACACGCACTAGGGTTATGCAGTACACACCCTAGATAAACATCTCTGAGTACACTTGCTTCCAGGGAGCAGAATAGGGGCTTGGGGTGAGAAAAGGTGAGGCAGCGTATTGCCATTTCCCTTTTACAGTTTGATTTTTTTTTTTTTAAAGCGTTACTCTAATGTGCAAATAATGTGCGTAGCACCCTTGTGGAAGTGGGTCCATGCAATAAGGTGTATGGAGCCCTAATGAGGGGATTGGTCAGTTTTGCCATCCTGCTAGACTTAAAATGAGCCATCCCAGAGGCGGAAAGGAAGGACCTCACAACCACCAAGAAAGAAGAGATAGAAGTGGAGCACGTCCTTTGGACCTGGGATCCCTGTGCTGAGAACCTCCTAGACGCAGGAGACAGAGAGCAGTAACACTGGAGACGGTGAGAGCTGATGAGAAGCAGAGGCAGAGAAGCGGTGGCAGCAGAGGCAGCCGAACACTGAGAGATGGTGTGGTGGGCTTCCTGGCCCATGGAGCAAGGTGGTTACAGTGTGTGTACTGATCACAGAGAGAGCTGAGTGCCTTCAGGCAGGAGGCTTATGGTGGAGTGGGGTGCCTCTGGGCATTTATTGGCAGAGCTAAAAGAACTTTGCAGCACTTGCCTGAGCAGGGCAGAGGCTGGGCCAGCCCAAGAGGCATGAAGGCCAAGGCATAGAGGGCCAGAGAGAGGCCTGCCTATGGCACGGCTGAGAAGAAGCTGTCCTGATTGAAAAACTATATCCTGAGCATTCCTGAACCTGAATTGTAATCTGTTACTTCCCTAAAAAGCCCCATAACTGTGAGTATGGTCTGTGAGTTCTGTGTGGCCATTGCAGTGAATTGTTGAACCCAGCAGAGAAGTAGAGAATGCTGTGGGAAGGATAGTTGGTGTCCGAATTGGTAAAAAGGTGGGAGAAGAGATATGTCTGACCTCTGCCTCATAGCAATCAGCATTGGGCTGTTGATCTTGATTCTCCTTCCCCCTTGTGACGTTAGAGGAGGTCAGATGCCTCTGCCATGCCATTTTTACAGGGCTATTAAGTAGAGCCTGGATCAGTTGAGGAATAGGAGAGTCACTGTAAGCACAGGATAACAATAGCAGTGTCTTAGGCTGGGTTATCTAGAGGAGCAAAACCAGTGAAGTGTATATGTATGTATGTATTTATTTATGTCAAGGAAATGGTTCATGCAACTGTGGAGGCTGGCAAGTCCCAAATCTGTGGGTCAGGCATCAGGCTGGAGGCTTCTTCTGACTCACGTGGTTGCAGGGGCTGACAGACCCAAATCGGCAGGTCAGACAGCAGGCTGATGGCTCATGGGGCTGCAGGAGATGGTGAATCCCAAAATCTGCAGGTCGGATGGCATGCTACTGGCTCACATCCCAAGAGCCGGAGGTCAGAGGAGGATAAGTTGGATGCAGGATCCAGAGAGAGCGAGCTTTGCCAGAACATCTGTATATATTGGATGCAGGCCACACCCCCAAGGAAACGCCCCTTTCAACTGATTGGCTGCTCACATCAGATCACAAAATGGAGGATGATTACATAATATCTGCCAAACCACTGAGAATCATGGCCTCGCCAAGTTGACACACAATCTTCACCGTCACAAGCAGGAAGGACCACTTAACAGAACCAACTAGGAGTCGAAGATTCAAAAAGGAGAACATTTAAAACAGCAGAAAAGTCAAGGAAAATGGAGATGGAGGAAAGACCACAGAATTGGTCTCAGAATTGCTGACTGAGAGAACAGCTCCATGAAGTGGTGGGAACAGATGTCATCTCTTGCAGTGCTTTTCAGAGTGTGGTTCCTGGACCAGCAATAGCTGCGTCACCTGGGCCCACCTATCGGTGTTTCACAAGGCCTTCAGGTGACTCAGATGTGCACCGAAGTTTGAGAACCACTGGCTGAGGCTTTCTTTGTTGGCAGTGTAAGTTTGCGCAGTTCCTATGTAGGGAAATCTGACACTATCAGTCATAACTAGAAATGTATTATACCCTCTGACACACATTTTAATTTGTAGGAACATGTCCTACAGTTATTTGTACATAGGCAGAATGACTCATGTAAAAGGTTGCAGCAGTATTTGATTGGAAACTAAATGGCCATCATTAGGGGGCTGGTAAAATCTGCTGTGGTGCATCCAGACCATAAAATGCTATGCAGCTATAATCAAAATGAGAATACTCGGTATGTGTTGATACGGAAAGGTCTCCAAGATATATTAAATATTTTATTTGGTGCGTTAGATGTCTGATTTTCAAAAGAAGCCTTAGGTGGTTGATTTTTTTATTTCAAATTGCTTAGTATCAGTTTATCAAATGAGGCAAACCTTTATTCTGAAGTTGACACTTTTGCTGAAGGCACAGGTGTGCTGTTGCCCCCTCGCCGTCTCCCTAGCTGCTAATGGACGTAAACTATGTGCCTTGGGGGGAGATGATTGTCCTCTGAAGAAACCCAGAACCCTGTGTTAGTGAGCTAGAGGAGGAAGGGCTGTTCTCTGGTGCCAGTAAATCTAGAAAAGCCTGAACAGGGGCAGTAAATGATGTCCCTTGCCTCCAGGGGGCCTTCCACTTACATTACTCCTTTTTACCTTTTACTGACCCTTTTCATAACCTCTTCCCTTCCTGCTGTCTCTACATGCTGTTTGCCACGTAGTCATGGCTGTCCTATTTAATACCAGGAGAGAGAGGAACTTAAGCGTTCTTTCCCAAGACGTGAGCTAGGGGGTGCTTCGATGTGATTTAACCCTGTGGTCAGGAGCCTGACTTTGAGGAACCTAGGCTGATGATGATCATGTGTGGTGTTCAACTCGTCCTGTCCCTTTATTCTGTAAGTAACAAA